GTTCGAGTTGCCAAACGTCAGGCTCGAAACCTTAATGACTTGGAGAAGATCTGCAAAGAGGAGTGGGACAAAATCCCTCCTGAGATGTGTGCAAACCTGGTGGCCAACTACAAGAAACGTCTGACCTCTGTGATTGCCAACAAGGGTTTTGCCACCAAGTACTAAGTCATGTTTTGCAGAGGGGTCAAATACTTATTTCCCTCATTAAAATGCTAATCAATTCATAACATTTTTGACATGCGTTTTTCTGGATGTTTGTGTTGTTATTCTGTCTCTCACTGTTCAAATAAATCTACCATTAAAATTATAGACTGATCATTTCTTTGTCAGTGGACAAACGTACAAAATCAGCAGGGGATCAAATACTTTTTCCCCCCACTGTAATGTCGGGCGCATTAAGTGATGCTATGTTTTCTGTTATTTTTGTTTGATACAACATAGTGGAAGATTTTTGGTCCTATAGTCACAGTTTGCCACTGATTATACTGCTGTGAGAAAAGAGAGCGATCCCTAGCCTTGCTGTCTGGAATTTATGATGTTTATGTTTCCCTAGGGCACACCCACTGAAGCAGCTGCATTTTTTTCAAAGCTTGTTTTTTAAAGGCAAAACATGCAGACAATCCACTCCCTAAGTGATAAAACACATTGCTTTAGTTGTTGTCATTCAGTTTTGAACCTTCCTGCACTTCAGCCCACAGGGAGCCGTGTGTGTGTGTACAGACTGCAGACAGAGCGAAAGAGGTGCAGACTGTTGAAGCAGCTGCATGTCTACACACCTCCACATTCCTCAGGGCTCTCCTTCCATAGCCATTCAGTTGAACCAGGGAGGGGCCGCGGCTGCAGCCTGCAAACTCGCACTCCTCCACACTCTCTGCCCAACCAGTTGCCTTAATAAAACAGTCCTACTACTAATCATCACAATCCCAAGGTTGAGCTCCTTTTGACTATTTCTACATCACAAGCCCAGCCAGAAGACTGCTGTGTTGGCCGTGTAGGGTGGAGTGGAGTTGAATGGGAAAAAGTGCAGAATTGAGGTTGACACATTTACTGGAGTCATTTGAATTAGGGTTGCACGATATTGGAAATAACTGACATTGCAATATTTTGTTTTTCTGCGATATATATTGCGATATGAAAAAATGCAGAATGTATGTATGATCATCTGGGGAAAATGCAGTTTGCAAACAGTGACTTTTCAGGTGGAAGTCCTCATTAATAAAGTGTAAGGTCAGACTTATGCAGCAACGAACTCCGTGTTTAAAATAATAATAATAATAATAAACTGTGTATCCAATAACCCATAAATCAGAGTAAATTACGTTATATCAGACAGATATAATGCTAGTTTAACATTAAAAATATACAGGTAAAAGTCAGTAAATTAGAATATTTTGAAAAACTTGATTTATTTCAGTAATTGCATTCAAAAGGTGTAACTTGTACATTATATTTATTCATTGCACACAGACTGATGCATTCAAATGTTTATTTCATTTAATTTTGATGATTTGAAGTGGCAACAAATGAAAATCCAAAATTCCGTGTGTCACAAAATTAGAATATTACTTAAGGCTAATACAAAAAAGGGATTTTTTAGAAATGTTGGCCAACTGAAAAGTATGAAAATGAAAAATATGAGCATGTACAATACTCAATACTTGGTTGGAGCTCCTTTTGCCTCAATTACTGCATTAATGCGGCGTGGCATGGAGTCGATGAGTTTCTGGCACTGCTCAGGTGTTATGAGAGCCCAGGTTGCTCTGATAGTGGCCTTCAACTCTTCTGCGTTGTTGGGTCTGGCATTCTGCATCTTCCTTTTCACAATACCCCACAGATTTTCTATGGGGCTAAGGTCAGGGGAGTTGGCTGGCCAATTTAGAACAGAAATACCATGGTCCGTAAACCAGGCACGGGTAGATTTTGCGCTGTGTGCAGGCGCCAAGTCCTGTTGGAACCTGAAATCTCCATCTCCATAGAGCAGGTCAGCAGCAGGAAGCATGAAGTGCTCTAAAACTTGCTGGTAGACGGCTGCGTTGACCCTTGATCTCAGGAAACAGAGTGGACCGACACCAGCAGATGACATGGCACCCCAAACCATCACTGATGGTGGAAACTTTACACTAGACTTCAGGCAACGTGGATCCTGTGCCTCTCCTGTCTTCCTCCAGACTCTGGGACCTCGATTTCCAAAGGAAATGCAAAATTTGCTTTCGTCAGAAAACATGACTTTAGACCACTCAGCAGCAGTCCAGCTCTTTTTTTCCTTAGCCCAGGTGAGACGCTTTTCGCGCTGTTTCTTGGTCAACAGTGGCTTGACACGAGGTATGCGGCAGTTGAAACCCATGTCTTTCAAGCGTCTCTTGGTGGTGGATCTTGAAGCCCTGACTCCAGCAGCTGTCCACTCCTTGTGAATCTCCCCCACATTTTTGAATGGGTTTTTTTTCACAATCTTGACTAGGGCGCGGTGATCCCTATCGCTTGTACACTTTTTCTGACCACAGTTTTTCCTTCCCTTTGCCTCTCTATTAATGTGTTTGGACACAGAGCTCTGAGAACAGCCAGCCTCTTCTGCAATAACCTTTTGTGTCTTTCCCTCCTTGTGCAATGTGTCGATGGTCGCCTTTTGGACAGCTGTCAAATCTGAAGTCTTCCCCATGTTTGTGTAGGCTTCAGAACTGGACTGAGAGACCATTTAAAGCCCTTTACAGGTGTTTTGAGTTAATCAGCTGATTATTTTGTGGCACCAGGTGTCTTCAAAATGTAACCCTTACACAATATTCTAATTTTGTGACACACGGAATTTTGGATTTTCATTTGTTGCCACTTCAAATCATCAAAATTAAATGAAATAAACATTTGAATGCATCAGTCTGTGTGCAATGAATAAATATAATGTACAAGTTACACCTTTTGAATGCAATTACTGAAATAAATCAAGTTTTTCAAAATATTCTAATTTACTGACTTTTACCTGTATATATATTGGAGACTGATATATGTTTACCTTACTAAATCGCACGTTCTGCGATGTGACTATTGCGGATGCATACAATTTTCTGTCCTGGCCTGAATGGGTTTGCTAATGTGTATTTTCACTAGTAGTGTATTTTCAGTAAGTTTTGTAAGCTGACAGTAACCATGTGCTGCATATAAGTACAGTGGCTTGCAAAAGTATTCACCCCCTTGGCATTTTTCCTATTTTGTTGCCTTACAACCTGGAATTAAAATTGATTTTGGGGGGGTTTGTATCATTTGATTTACACAACCTGCCTACCACTTTGAAGATGCAAAATATTTTTTATTGTGAAACAAACAAGAAATGAGACAAAAAAAAAACAGAAAAGTTGAGCGTGCGTAACTATTCACCCCCCCAATTCTTTGTAGAGCCACCTTTTGCAGCAATTACAGCTGCAAGTCTCTTAGGGTATGTCTCTATAAGCTTGGCACATCTAGCCACTGGGATTTCTGCCCATTCTTCAAGGCAAAACTGCTCCAGCTCCTTCAAGTTGGATGGGTTGCACTGGTGTACAGCAATCTTTAAGTCATACCACAGATTCTCATTCCAAGACATTTTAAATGTTTCCCCTTAAACCACTCAAGTGTTGCTTTAGCAGTATGCTTAGGGTCATTGTCCTGCTGGAAGGTGAACCTCCGCCCCAGTCTCAAATCTCTGGAAGACTGAAACAGGTTTCCCTCAAGAATTTCCCTGTATTTAGCGCCATCCATCATTTCTTCAATACTGACCAGTTTCCCAGTCCCTGTCGATGGAAAAACATCCCCACAGCATGATGCTGCCACCACCATGCTTCACTGTGGGGATTGTGTTCTCGGGGTGATGAGAGGTGTTGGGTTTGCGCCAGACATAACATTTTCCTTGATGGCCAAAAAGCTCAATTTTAGTCTCACCTGACCAGAGTACCTTCTTCCATATGTTTGGGGAGTCTCCCACATGGCTTTTGGCCAACGTGTTTGCTTATTTTTTTCTTTAAGCAATGGCTTTTTTCTGACCACTCTTCCGTAAAGCCCAGCTCTGTGGAGTGTATGGCTTAAAGTGGTACTATGGACAGATACTCCAATCTCTGCAGTGGAGCTTTGCAGCTCCTTCAGGGTTATCTTTGGTCTCTTTGTTGCCTCTGATTAATGCCCTCCTTGCCTGGTCCGTGAGTTTTGGTGGGCGGCCCTCTCTTGGCAGGTTTGATGTGGTGCCATATTCTTTCCAATTTTTAATAATGGATCCGTGGGATGTTCAAAGTTTCTGATATTTTTTTATAACCCAACCCTGATCTGTACTTCTCCACAACTTTGTCCCTGACCTGTTTGGAGAGCTCCTTGGTCTTCATGGTGCCGCTTGCTTGGTTGTGCCCCTTGCTTAGTGGTGTTGCAGACTCTGGGTCTTTCAGAACAGGTGTATATATACTGAGATCATGTGACAGATCATGTGACACTTAGATTGCACACAGGTGGACTTTCTTTAACTAATTATGTGACTTCTGGAGGTAATTGGTTGCACCAGATCTTATTTAGGGGCTTCATAGCAAAGGGGGTGAATACATATGCACCCACCACTGTTCCGTTATTTATTTTTTTGAGTTTTTTTAAATAGGTTATTTTTTTCATTTCACTTCACCAATTTGGACTATTTTGTTATTCCATTATTTGAAATCCAAATAAAAATCCATTTAAATTACAGGTTGTAATGCAACAAAATAGGAAAAACGCCAAGTGGGATGAATACTTTTGCAAGGCACTGTAACTGTTTGTTCATACCACATATGCAGTGTTTTCTCAAGTCTGTGGTACAGGATCTTGCAACACTGAAGACTGCCTCTAAGCAATGTCCATAAATTGTGTGTGTTTGAGACATGCATACTTACGGTCTCACATTAACAATTGCTCCATGTAGAATAGAAAGTTTACTCATGGCCATATTAATTTGTGCACTCCCATTTTTCTCTCTCTCATATGTTATTCCCTTCTGTTTCCCCCCCTCTCTCTTTCCCCAGCAGCAGCAGGAGGGTCCTACAGGCAGACAGGCTGGCATGGTGCCCTTCGTTATGCCCGTATCAGTGCCAGTGCGTCAGGGTCAGACAGCCCCTCCGGGCACCTGGCTTTACGGGCGCCCCCCGGGCCAGCACCCCCTGCTCCTGCCCCAGCCCGAGCACAAGCCCTCTGTCATCGTGGCCCGGCGCCGCTCCCTGAGGAACTCTCTGTCGGAAAGCTTCAGCCAGGTAGGTCCTGTTGCCGACCTGGGTTGTGTTCATTAGGGCACAGCGTAGTAAAAATGTTTTGCACCATTTGAGTGTTTCAGTCCGTGTTCTTCCGTTTGGTGCCTAATGAACACAATCTAGGGTTCACATAGTATTTGTTTTCTTTCAAATAAGTTGAGTGTTTGATTTTACCTGCCTGAAGTACCAGATGGCTGGGGTTTGCACTTTTGGGACTATTCCCTTGTTTTCATTGTGCCAGCCAGGCAAGCTCAATGAATTGCAGCTAAAGTATTTGAAAGAAAACAAATGCCATCCTCACAATCATCTCAACCAAACAGGACGAGGAGAGCAACACGGGGCAGGACGACGATGGGAAATTGGCCAAGCACAAACGGCGTCCTCGTCCCGAGCCCCTCTTCATCCCTCCGCCCAAACTGGCCACGTTCATCGTTCCCTCTGTCTACTCTGCCATCACTCCCTACCAGAGCCACCTGCGCTCACCCATCCGCTTGCCTGACCACCCCTTCACCATGCCGCCCTACACCCCGCCGCCCATCCTGTCACCGGTGCGCGAGGGCTCAGGGCTCTACTTCGCCACCTTCCTGTCCTCCATCACCACCAGCAACCAGACCCTGCAACCGCCGCCCATTACACCCAAGTCGGTCTCGCGCAGCCTGTTGCGTTCCAGTAAGTATTGTCATGGAGGCTCGAGGAGTGTCTCTGTATCCCTATCTCGCTCTCTCTCTCTCTGCTTTTCACTCAATCACTTGTCTGCCTAGTCTTGCAGTCCTGTCTCTCTCTCTCTTTCTTTTTACTCGCCACCTTATTTCTTTGTATGTCTGTCTAGACTTTGCAGCCAGCCCTGTCATTTCTGTTCGTGTTTCTTCTCGTGTTTCTGTCGTTCTTGCATTTTTGTATCTGTCCCTTTCTTTTCCTATGCACTGCATGCGTCCTTGACACAATGTATCTTTCTGTCAATAGTCCACAGAGTAGTTAACCCAAGTCCAAGACTAGAAAAGCACTTTCAATGGAGAAATCTCTCTTAATAAAGTTTAGGGTGTGTCACAAATGGTACCCTATTCCCAGTATAGTACACTACTTTTGACCATTCCTATGGACCCTGGCCAAAAGTATTGCACTACATAGGGAATAGGGTGCCATTTGGGACACACACCCACAGTCCTCCAGGGGTGAAATAGTCCCATGTCTGCCTGCATTCTGAGATAAGCTCAAGCTACACAGGCTCTCTGTCTCAGTCCAGATAGAAGTGCCCTAAAGGCCCTGTCTTCCTTGTGTGTTCTACAGCCAGCTCTACAGATATCACGCCCCCGGTCCTCCCTTTGATCAACGACGCCACACCTGTCAGCTTTGACCCGTGAGTACAAACCTCTGTGACACTTTACTCAAATCCTGCAGGTATTATGCATTATGATGCACTTATAATGCATTGAAAGACTTGTCCTAAGCATGTATACAATAATGGCGCCTGAGGGGATGGCTAACATTTTACGGACTCCTGTGTGTTTTTTCGCATTGTTTGTAACTTATTTTGTACATAATGTTGCTGCTACCGTCTCTTATGACCGAAAAGAGCTTCTGGATATCAGAACAGCGATTACTCACCTCGAACTGGACGAAGAGTTTTTCTTTAATTAGTCCGACGCGAAGGATATATTGCTTCTCCGAGACCAGGCCCAAATCCCTGTCATTTGTGTGAAGAAAAGACAGAAATACAGGGGGCGGAGATCGGGGTGCCTTGTGAGAATTGTGGGTAACCTGCCTCTACCATCCGTTCTATTGGCCAACGTGCAATCACTGGAGAATAAACTGGATGATCTCAGTTCGAGACTATCCTACCACGGGACATTAAAAACTGTAACCGAGTCGTGGCTGAACGACAACATGGATAATATAGAGTTGGCTGGGTTTTCCATGCATCAGCAGGACAGAACCGCTACGTCTGGTAAGAAGAAGGGTGGGGGGAGTGTGTCTGTTTGTCAATAACAGCTGGTGCGTGATGGCTAATATTAAGGAAGTCTCGAGGTATTGCTCGCCTGAGGTAGAGTACCTCATGAGCTTTCATCTATATTTTTCGTAGCCGTCTATTTACCACCACAAACCGATGCTGGCACTAAGACCGCACTCAACGAGCTGTATAAGGCCATAAGCAAACAAGAAAATGCTCATACAGAAGAGGTGCTCCTAGTGGCCGGGGACTTTAATGCAGGCAAACTTAAATCCATTTACCTAATTTCTACCATGTGCAACCAGAGGGGAAAGAAAACTCTAGACCACCTTTACTCCACACAGAGACGCATACAAAGCTCTCCCTCGCCCTCCATTTGGCAAATCTGACCATAATTCTATCCTCCTGATTCCTGCTTACAAGCAAAAACTAAAGCAGGAAGTACCAGTGACTCGCTCAATACAGAAGTGGTAAGATGATGCGGATGCTACGCTACAGGACTGTTTTCCTAGCACAGAATACCACCTCAGTCACCAGCTTCATCAATAAGTGCATCGACGACGTCGTCCCCACAGTGACCATACATACATATCCCAACCAGAAGCAATGAATTACAGGCATCATCCGCACCAAGCTAAAGGCTAGAGCTGCCGCTTTCAAGCGGCCATGAAGTCGGTAGCCATGAAGTGCTTTGAAAGGCTGGTCATGGATCACATCAACACCATCATGCCGGAAACCCTAGACCCACTCCAATTTGCATACCGCCCCAACAGATCCACAGATTATGCAATCTCAATCACACTCCACACTGCCCTTTCCCACCTGGATGAACGGAACACCTACAGTGAGGGAAAAAAGTATTTGATCCCCTGCTGATTTTGTACGTTTGCCCACTGACAAAGAAATGATCAGTCTATAATTTTAATGGTAGGTTTATTTGAACAGTGAGAGACAGAATAACAACAAAAAAATCCAGAAAAACGCATGTCAAAAATGTTATAAATTGATTTGCATTTTAATGAGGGAAATAAGTATTTGACCCCCTCTCAATCAGAAAGATTTCTGTCTCCCAGGTGTCTTTTTATGCAGGTAACAAGATGAGATTAGGCGCACACTCTTAAAGGGAGTGCTCCTAATCTCAGTTTGTTACCTGTATAAAAGACACCTGTCCACAGAAGCAATCAATCAATCAGATTCCAAACTCTCCACCATGGCCAAGACCAAAGAGCTCTCCAAGGATGTCAGGGACAAGATTGTAGACCTACACAAGGCTGGAATGGGCTACAAGACCATCGCCAAGCAGCTTGGTGAGAAGGTGACAACAGTTGGTGTGATTATTCGCAAATGGAAGAAACACAAAAGACCTGTCAATCTCCCTCGGCCTGGGGCTCCATGCAAGATCTCCCCTCAATGATCATGAGAATGGTGAGGAATCAGCCCAGAACTACACAGGAGGATCTTGTCAATGATCTCAAGGCAGCTGGGACCATAGTTACCAAGAAAACAATTGGTAACACACTACACCGTGAAGGACTGAAATCCTGCAGCGCCCGCAAGGTCCCCCAGCTCAAGAAAGCACATATACAGGGCCATCTGAAGTTTGCCAATGAACATCTGAATGATTCAGAGGAGAACTGGGTGAAAGTGTTGTGGTCAGATGAGACCAAAATCGAGCTCTTTTGGCATCAACTCAACTCGCCATGTTTGGAGGAGGAGGAATGCTGCCTATGACCCCAATAACACCATCCCCATCGTCAAACATGGACGATGGACGGGGCCATGTACCGTCAAATCTTGGGTGAGAACCTCCTTCCCTCAGCCAGGGCATTGAAAATGGGTTGTGGATGGGTATTCCAGCATGACAATGACCCAAAACACACGGCCAAGGCAACAAAGGAGTGGCTCAAGAAGAAGCACATTAAGGTCCTGGAGTGGCCTAGCCAGTCTCCAGACCTTAATCCCATAGAAAATCTGTGGAGGGAGCTGGTTCGAGTTGCCAAACGTCAGGCTCGAAACCTTAATGACTTGGAGAAGATCTGCAAAGAGGAGTGGAACAAAATCCCTCCTGGTGGCCAACTACAAGAAACGTCTGACCTCTGTGATTGCCAACAAGGGTTTTGCCACCAAGTACTAAGTCATGTTTTGCAGAGGGGTCAAATACTTATTTCCCTCATTAAAATGCAAATCAATTTATAACATTTTTGACATGCGTTTTTCTGGATTTTGTTGTTGTTATTCTGTCTCTCACTGTTCAAATAAACCTACCATTAAAATTATAGACTGATCATGTCTTTGTCAGTGGGCAAACTTACAAAATCAGCAGGGGATCAAATACTTTTTTCCCTCACTGTATGTGAGAATGCAGTTCATTAACTGCATCTCAGCGTTCAACACCATAGTGCCCTCAAAGCTCATCACTAAGGTAAGGACCCTGGGACTAAACACCTCCCTCTGCAACTGGATCCTGGACTTCCTGACGGGCCGGCCTCAGGTGGTAAGGGTAGGCAACAGCACATCCGCCACACTGATCCTCAACACGGGGGCCCCTCAAGGGTGCATGCTTAGTCCCCTCCTGTACTCCCTGTTCACCCACGACTGCGTGACCAAGCACGACTCCAACACCATCATTACGTTTGCTGATGACACAACAGTGGTAGGCCTGATCACAGACAAAGATGAGACAGCCTATATGGAGGAGGTCAGAGACCTGGCAGTATGGTGCCAGGACAACAACCTCTCCCTCAATGTGAGCAAGACAAAGGAGCTGATCGTGGACTACAGGAAAGGAGGGCCGAACACGCCCCCATTCCCATCGACAGGGCTGTAGTGGAGCGGGTCGAGAGTTTCAAGTTCCTTGGGGTCGACATCACTAAGAAACTATCATGGTCCAAACACACCAAGACAGTCGTGAAGAGGGCACGACAACACCTTTTCCCCCTCAGGAGACTGAAAAGATTTGGAATGGGTCCACAAATCCTCAAAAAGTTCTACAGCTGCACCATCAAGAGCATCCTGACCGGTTGCATCACCGCCTGGTATGGCAACTGCACTGCTGCTACTCGCTGTTTATTATCAATGCATAGTCACTTTTCTCCTACCTACATGTACAAATTACCTCAACTAACCTGTAGCCCCGCACATTGACTCAGTACCGGTACCACCTGTATATAGCCTCGTTATTGTTATTTTATGGTTTATAGAGTAAATATTTTCTTAACTCTATTTCTTGAACTGCATTGTTGGTTAAGGGCTTGTAAGTAAGCATTTCATGTGACAAATAACATTTGATTTGGTATGACCCTCTTATAATGTTTTATTGCCCATCCAGGGCTCCAGACTATAAAATGTTCACCTGGTGGCACTGGTGCCACTAACTTTTTCAGTTGGTTGCACCAGCCCATGATTTGGTCCCACCCCCCCAAAAAAAATGTGTACCCATATAAAAAATATTGTATGCATTTTACATTTTAGTCATTTAGCAGACGCTCTTATCCAGAGCATCTTATAAAATCATTGTTGTGTAATTCACAATGCTTTATTAAGAAGTGTTATAGAATACTGAGATGGAATTCAATAAATAAGTTGTTCCTTCTAACATGTCCAAACAGTAATGCATGGGGGGAGGGGGAGGGTGTCAGTGACTCACTCATTACACCAGCCAGCCCCAGGGAAAGGGGCACAGCGGCAGGGCAGACACTTTCATTACAGGAGTCATTAGGTTAATGCACTTCACTGTTTGACCAAATCACGGTTTTATCCGCCCAAAACATAGGATGTTTTGATTGAGGTGACAGCCAAGTCAAATGGTAAAAAAATGCAACTACAGTAAATGGTCGAAGTCTGGAGCCCTGCCATCGCGTAATGATCCAGGCAAAACATCCTTTAAATTACATTTACATTTAAGTCATTTAGCAGACGTTATTTTCCAGAGCTTCTTACAGTTTGTGCATTCATCTTAAGGTGTGACAACCACATATCACAGTCATAGTAAATACTTTTTTTCCTCAATAAAGCAACTATCAGCAAAGTCAGTGCTAGTAAGAAAAGACAAGTGCGAGTGTTGGTTATGGTTCTCCGTAATGGTTGTAAAATGACCAGCAGAATGACCAGTGCTATCTATGTCTTATCTTAGACCTTATGCCTTTAGGGGCCACTTTTATCTACAAATCTACCTGTTTATCTACAATATCTATCCACACAGCATGGTCCCCATGGAGAGAGCCTATAGCAAAACTTCAGACTTATGACCACAATGACTGCTGATTTCCTAATATTTTTAGCTCCCCCCCTCCACCCTCTCCCTCCCCCTCTCTGTCTCCCTCGCTCTCTTTCTCTCTCTCTCGCCTCCCTCCACCCTCTCCCTCCCCCAACCTCTCCCCCTCCTCCCTCCCTCCCCCCAGGCGTATTAACATTGGTCTGCAGTACCAGGCGGAGGTGCCAGAGCTGCAGCGGGACCGCTCGCTGACCCAGTGGGACCAGCACAAAGCTGACCTGGTCTGGCTCCCCATGAAGGAATCCCAGCTACACCACGCAGTGCAGGAGACTGGTAACTATACTAGGCTAGGGCGGTATCCAGATTGTCATACCCTCTTACCGACCTAGTGCCATCCTGGGATATTTGGTAATACCGGCACTGAACACAAGGGCGGCTATTTTCAAACCCCACTGAGCCTCTGTCATCCGAAGGTTAGCAATGCTAACAAGCACATGTAAAATCCCATAGTGAATGATAGCTAAATGCTAATGAGCGCATTGCAAACATTTTATACAGTCTCTGACCTAAACTATTTGCAGGACAGACATCCCAGCTCATGAAGTTATACAAGTAACTCAAAAATGCTACTCACAGTTTGCTGCACGCACAAAATACATATTAGACAGAAAGGCTCTTGATCCAGGAGGGGATTCTCTGCTGTTATCAAAAGAAGCTTGATTTTGCAAGAAGCTAACCAAATGTACAACTGCAGAGCATTTAACACATTTTAGACAGTTAATTTAATAGTTCTAAGATATCTAGCTGGCAAACATTTAGTTATGCATTCCATACTGTAACTAGATCACCTGGCGTGTGCTGCAGAACAGTGAGTGACTTACAATGCTCCAGTCTCTTGACATTGTGTGGTTGTAAACAAACACCTCGTGACTGGGGCCTACCGGTAAGCTTCATAATGAAAAATAATGTGACAGGTGAAATGAAGAACATGATCTGCTTTATCTCCTAACATAGTTGACTGCAGCTATTTACTTAAAAAGTAGCTACAAATATACAGATATAAAAAAACTTTAAATAAATAGTTTCAATGGTATTGAAAAACCATTCCGTTGCTATTTCCAAATACTCCGGTATACAGTATACTACCCAAGCCTAAACTTTGCTGCCCCTTCCTCAAAGGTTATAACAATCTAAATTCACACTATAGGGCCAACCCGAACCATACTGTGCTGGCACTACTGCTATTTTATTTCCACATTTTCAGCATGGTTCCAGAAACTATGTTGAATGCATAATCAGGCCAGCTCAGCACAGCTTGGCTCGGCTCAGCTTGGTATGGTTCTGTAGTGTGAGTGGTATAGAGCTTACTTTTTGTATGAAGCTTAAAGTAAACACATTTGAACAACTTGAGCTGTAAGGTCCTGAGAAAGTGCAAAATGTTGACCTTTTTGCTTTCTGTCAATCCTTTTCTCTGTCTACCTTCTCTCCCCCTCTTTCTCTATCTCTGCACCTCTTCCTCCCTGCCTTCCTCTCTCAAATCTGCCTCACTCTCCCCCCTAGTGGATGACCTGATGAACTTGGCCTGCTCTTGCGCTCTGTACGGCGGAGGCACCAATCAAGAGTTGGCCCTTCACTGTCTGCATGAGTGCGGGGGCAATGTCCTTGTGAGTACAGTGACTCACCCAGTGATATAACCGAGTGGTTTACAATGACGCTGTCTCCCCTACGCTTCCATAATAATCCATTGTGGCAAGTGAGTGTCCCAAATGGCACCCTATTCCCTTAATAGTCCACTACTATGGCCCCTGGTCAAACGTAGTGCACTATATAGGGAATAGGGTGCCATTTGGGGAAACACCCCGGTGATTAATTGTGTTGTGCTCCCCAGGAGGCCCTGGCATTCCTGCTGCTCAAGGAGCCCATTTTCTCTAAAGGACACCACCTGGCAGACTATCACTACTCAGGTGGGGACGTAATTTTGTTTCCTCAAGCGCTTCTTTCTAAAGAGTGTGCTTGTTTAAGCGGAGATGGGGCATGGGGGTGATGGAAATGAATTATCTCACAACCCCCCCCCCACGCACACGCACACACACATACACACACACTGTGTGACCTCATTGACATGGTGAATAATTTCCCTCCCAGGATCAGACAGTTGGACTCCCTCAGAGAAGCGCTACTTCAATAAAGGCATCTCTGCCTACAGGAAGGACTTCTTCATGGTGCAGAAATTGGTACGCCCATTTCGAATCAGGCCATGTCGGCAATGACAGTTTCACCACATGGCATGGCATGAATTAGCATATGATCACCACCTGGGCAAACAGTGGGAGTACCATTAGAAGTGAATAACTTTTTAATAACTGTGTCTGTATTTCTATGTGTGGACGGGAGTGAGGGGAGAGGAAGACTATAATGAATACCATTGTCTGCGTGCGTGTGTCTTTCCGTATACAGGTTCGGACTAAGACAGTGGCACAGTGTGTGGAGTTCTACTACACTTATAAGAAACAGGTGAAAATCGGTCGCAGTGGAACCATTACCTACGGACCTCCAGAGTCACCAGCGGAGAAACACACAGAGGCAGTATTGGATGTCAAAGTAGGGCTTAGTTAATGAAAACAAATGTAATGAAACAAGTAGTTAATGATTACTTAAAAACATTTTTTTACATTACTTTTATTAAGATTAACATTGTGTTATATGCCAACTCAGGAAGAAGAAGACAACAGGAAGTGGGAAGGGTCATGTGAACGGGGTAAAGATGGCAGCCAGTTGAGGGTTAACCAGACACTACAGGCTCACGACAATGTAAGTGCTCATTTTCACTTGAAATTACATTTTTAAAGTGATTGTTAAACTGTTCAACCACTTTGTATCATGTGGTCCTCTGTAGCTCAGCTGGTAGAGCACGGCGCTTGTAAACGCCAAGGTAGTGGGTTCGATCCCCGGGACCACCCATACACAAAAATGTATGCACGCATGACTAAGTCGCTTTGGATAAAAGCGTCTGCTAAATGGCATATTATTATATCCATCCCATACCGGTATATCCTGTCTATACTTGCTATCATAGGTTATTTGACCAATGATCCACCAACAGTGCAATACAACACTGGTATGACAGACTAACACAATGAAATGTAATGTTTGGCCCACCAGGCAGGAGCAGTGCTAGGGCACAAGGACCAGGATACTGTACACAAGGTGGGGCCTCCCCATCCAACCCCTCCCTCTGCACTCCGAAAACCTCGTCCCGAGTCTGCAGGGAAGAAGAGCAGAGCGCCCCCAAAGCCCCCGGGCGACCCAGAGGGCGTGTTCCCCTGCAAGAAATGTAGCAGGTCAGTGTGTTTGTGTGTGTCTGTCTATGTAAGAGTATGTTTATATGTACTGTATCTGCAAACAGATACACACACTCCACCATGCATGCCTACCACCATTAACAGTTTCCCCTACCAGTTTTTAGAGTGAAAGAAAACAGGGTGAAAGAAAGGGATTGACAAAGAGTATTATAAACCAGACATCTCTCTTAGAGACCAGCGTTCACTGGAAACATCCCAGACTGGTGGGGCGACAATGGAGACAAAAGCCATTGGTGGTATTTCAGGTTGTCTTAGTTGCAGTCACGCTGCACAGATAATCAGATCTTACAACATAGGGATGGTGTCACGGTGTCAGTGTAATGCGGTAGACGAAGTCAGGCGCAGGACACAGAACTAAATGAAAACGTAACTTTACTGAACACGTAAAGAAACAAGTAAACCTCCACGCAGGGAGGAACAAACCCGCTCACCATCGACACAGGAAACAATAAACAAACACGCACAGAGCACAATGGGAGCCACAGGGTTAAATAGGGACGGAGTAATTACAAGATGGGAAACAGGTGTGAAACAATCAGACAACAACAGGTAGAACATAGAAACATAGAACATAGATCGGCAGCAGCTAGTACTCCCCCCCCCGACACCGGCCTCGGGGACGGCCAGGAGGAAGCGGTGCGGGGCGAGTCGGATGATTGCGGTGGAAATCCCTCAACATGGAGGGATCGAGGATGTCCCTCCTGGGGACCCAGCACCGTTCCTCCGGACCGTACCCCTCCCACTCCACGAGATACTGCAGGTCCCCCACCCGACGCCTCGAATCCAATATGGAACGAACCGAGTACGCCGGTGCCCCCTCGATGTCCTGTGGGGGCGGAGGAACCTCCTGTATCTCAGACTCCTGGAGTGGACCAGCTACCACCGGCCTGAGGAGAGACACATGGAACGAGGGGTTAATACAATAATTAGGAGGAAGTTGTAACCTATAACATACCTCGTTCAATGGCCCCACAAACCGCCGACCCAGCTTCCGGCAGGGCAGGCGAAGGGGCAGGTTTTGGGTCGAGAGCCAGACACGGTCCTCACTGCAGTGGCGGTTGGCGCTCGCCTTTTGCCGCCTGATGGCCCGCTGCAGACGTACATGAGCAGCGTCCAAGTCTCCTGCGAGTGCCGACACCACTCGTCCACCGCAGGTGCCTCGATCTGGCTCTGATGCCAAGGTGCCATGACCGGCTGATAACCTAATACACATTCGAATGGAGAAAGGTTAGTGGAGGAGTGGCGGATGGAGTTCTGGGCTATCTCTGCCCAGGGGAGGAAAACCGACCACTCCCCCCGCTGGTCCTGGCAATACGACCTCAGAAACCTACCCACCTCCTGGTTGACTCTCTCCACCTGCCCGTTACTCTCGGGGTGAAACCCTGAGGTCTGACAGACCGAGACTCCCAGACGTTCCATGAACGCCCTCCAAACCCTTGAGGTGAACTGGGAACCCCGATCAGACACTATATCCTCAGGTACCCCGTAGTGCCGGAAGACGTGTGTAAATAGGGCCTCAGCAGTCTGTAGGGCCGTAGGGAGGCCGGGCAGAGGAATGAGGCGACAGGACTTAGAAAACCGATCCACAACGACCAGGATCGTGGTGTTCCCTTGTGAGGGGGGAAGATCCGTCACGAAGTCCACCAATAGGTGGGACCATGGTCGTTGTGGAACGGGTAGGGGTTGCAATTTCCCTCTGGGCAGGTGTCTAGGAGCCTTACACTGGGCGCACACCGAGCAGGAGGAAACATAAACCCTCACGTCCTTAGCTAAGGTGGGCCACCAGTACTTCCCACTAAGACAGTGCACTGTCCGACCTATGCCAGGATGACCAGAGGAGGGTGACGTGTGAGCCCAATAGATCAAACGATCGCGGACATCCAGCGGTACGTACACACGACCCTCTGGACACTGGGGAGGAGTGGGTTCGTTACGCAATGCTCGCTCGATCTCCGCATCAACTTCCCACACCACCGGTGCCACCAGACACGACGCCGGAAGTATGGGAGTGGGCTCCACGGAACTCTCCTCCGTGTCATACAGTCGGGACAGAGCATCTGCCTTAGCGTTCTGAGAACCTGGCCTGTAAGAAAGGGAGAAAAGAAAACGGGTGAGAAACATGGACCACCTTGCCTGGTGATGGTTTAATCTCCTCGCTGCCCGGATGTACTCCAGATTGCGGTGGTCAGTCAAAATGAGAAAAGGGTGTTTAGCCCCCTCAAGCCAATGTCTCCACGCTTTCAGAGTTTCGACCACAGCCAACAGCTCCCGGTCTCCCAGATCATAGTTGCGCTCCGCCGGGCTGAGCTTCTTCGAAAAGAAGGCACAGGGGCGGAGTTTAGGTGGCGTACCAGAGCGCTGAGACAGTACAGTGCCTATTCCAGCCTCGGACGCGTCCACCTCAACCATGAAGGCTAAGGAGGGGTCCGGATGAGCCAGCACTGGAACCGAGGTAAACAGGTTCTTCAGACGACTAAAAGCCCTGTCCACCTCAGCTGACCACCGCAGACGCACCGGCCCCCCCTTCAGCAACGAGGTAATGGGAGCTGCTACCTGACCAAAGCCCCGGATAAATCTCCGGTAGTAATTGGCAAAACCCAAAAATCGCTGCACCTCCTTTACCGTGGTTGGAGTCGCCCAATTACGCACGGCCGAAATGTGGTCACTCTCCATCCAACACCCCTGACGCGGACATGTGGTACCCCAAGAAAGAGATGGACTCCTGGAAGAACAGGCATTTCTCTGCCTTAGCATACAGGTCATGCTCCAACAGTCGTCCAAGCACTTTACGCACCAGGAACACATGCTTGGCCCATGTAGCGGAGTATATAAGGATGTCATCAATACACCACTACCCCTTGTCCATGCAGGTCCCTGAAAATCTCATCCACAAATGATTGGAAAACTGATGGAGCATTCATTAACCCGTATGGCATGACCAGAGACTCATAATGTCCAGAGTACTAAATGCCGTCCTCCACTCATCTCCCTCCCGAATACGCACTAGGTTGTACACGCTCCTGAGATCCAATTTTGTGAAGAAGCGTGCCCCGTGCAATGATTCCGTCATACTAGCTATCAGGGGTAATGGATAGCTGTACTTGATGGTATCTCCAGAGTGGCGCAGTGGTCTAAGGCACTGCATCGCAGTGCTAGCTGTGCCACTAGAGATCCTGGTTCGAATCCAGGCTCTGTCGTAGCCGGCCGCAACCGGGAGACCCATGGGGCGGCGCACAATTGGCCCAGCGTCGTCCAGGGTAGGGGAGGGAATGGCCTGCAGGGATGTAGCTCAGTTGATATAGCATGGTGTCTGCAACGCCAGGGTTGTGGGTTCGATTCCCACGGGGGGCCAGTATGAAAAATAAAAAAATTATGTATGCACTCACTAACTGTAAGTCGCTCTGAATAAGAGCGTCTGCTAAAAATGACTAAAATGACTTTAAAAAATGGTAATCTGATTTAGGCCACGGTAATCAATGCACGGGCATAACCCACCATCTTTCTTCTTCACAAAAAAGAAACTCGAGGAGACAGGTGAAGTGGATGGCCGAATGTATCCCTGCCTCAGAGATTCGGTGACATGTGTCTCCATAGCCGCCTTCCCCTCCTGAGACAAAGGATACGCGTGACTCTGGGGAAGTGCAGCTCCTACCTGGAGATTTATCGCAGAATCCCCCGGACGATGGGGTGGTAATTTAGTCGCCCTCTTTTACTGAAGGCGATAGCCAAATCGGCATACTCGGAAGGAATGTGCATAGTGGAAACCTGGTTTGGACTTTCCACCGTAGTTGCCCCCAAGGAAACTCCTAAACACCTCCTTGAACACTGACCGGACCATCCCTTGAGAGCCCTCTGTTGCCATGAAATCGTGGGGTCATGAATGGTTAACCAGGGAAGTCCCAACACCACAGGATACGCAGGAGAATCAATCAGATAGAGGCTAATCCTCTCCTCATGACCCCCCTGCGTCATCATCAGCAGTGGAGCGGTGACCTCCCTGATTATGCCTGACCCTAACGGGCGACTATCTAATGCATGCACAGGGAAAGGTTTATCAACAGACACAGTAGGAATCCCTAAACTATGGGCATACTGGCGATCAATAAAATTCCCAGCCGCGCCTGAATCTACTAGCGCCTTATGCTGGGAATGGGGAGAAAACTCTGAAAACATAATATCAATACACATATTAGCAACAGGGAGCTCTGGGTTAGTCGGCTGCCTACTCACCTGAGACGGTCGACCAGTGCTTTGCCTGCTGCCTCGACCTCCTGAGAACCCTCCCAAGCACCGACCAGCAGTGTGTCCTCTGCGGCCACAGTTGGTGCAGGAGACGGTCCCTCTCCCAGTCTCCCTAACCGCAGCACCTCCGAGCTCCATGGGGGTAGGCTCGGAGGTGCTGGGGGATGGAATGGACGGCCCCCCATCAGAACGTCCGTGGGCTGCCAACAGGTTATCCAACCTGATGGACATGTCCACCAGTTGGTCCAGGTTGAGATTGGTGTCCCTGCAGGCCAGTTCCCCGACGGACGTCCTCCCTTAAGCTGCAACGATAGTGGTCGATCAGGGCCCTCTCATTCCATCCCGCGCTGGCTGCTAAAGTTCTAAACTCCAGCGCAAACTCCTGCGCGCTCCTCATCTCCTGTCGTAGGTGGAAGAGACGTTCTCCCGCCGCTCTCCCTTCAGGTGGATGATCGAATACCGCCCGGAAGCGGCGGGTGAAATCCTCGTAGCGGACTGTTCTCGAGTCTATTCCTCCCCACTCGGCGTTGGCCCACTCAAGCGCCTTCCCGATAGACAGGAGATGAGGGCGGACACGCTCTCGTATCTCGAGGGCGCCGGGTGAATAGTGGCCAGGTAGAGCTCTACCTGGAGGAGAAATCCCTGGCACCCGGCAGGTGTACCGTCATATGCCCTCGGGAGCGAGAGCCGAATTCCACTGGACCCAGGTGGTGATGTGGTAGCCAGTGTTGTAGGTGGTTGAGTGGTTGGAAATGGTGAAGGGATACCACCTCTCTCCAATCGTTCTATCATCTGGAACACTTGTTCCATTGTGGCACCGAGAGTCTGAATCATCGTCTCTTGACGTTGGACTCATTCCTCCATCGTCTCGGTAAATCCGGCTGTTCCTGCTGACTCCATATTGGTGCGTGTTTCTGTCACGGTGTCAGTGTAATGCGGTAGACGAAGTCAGGCGCAGGACACAGAACTAAATGAAAACGTAACTTTACTGAACACGTTAAGAAACAAGTAAACCTCCACACAGGGAGGAACAAACCCGCTCACCATCGACACACGAAACAATAAACAAACACGCACAGAGCACAATGGGAGCCACAGGGTTAAATAGTGACGGAGTAATTACAAGATGGGAAACAGGTGTGAAACAATCAGACAACAACAGGTAGAACATAGAAACATAGAACATAGATCGGCAGCAGCTAGTACTCCGGTGACGACGAACGCCGAAGCCTGCCCGAGCAAGGAGGAAGGGCAGCCTCGGCAGAGTCCGTGACAGATGTGCACGGTTATTGGAATATTTGAATATCCAAAGGGACGTTAGTATTTTGATTACTTTGGAGAGTATACATTTTTGAGACTAGAAAATATAGGCATATTTTAACTGAAAAGGCTTTCTCAAACATGTAAATACAATTATCTATGTGACATTGCTACATAGCCTACAAATCGAAATTGTAATAAAACAATAGTTTTATGACAGTTTTTATGAGTGCACCCCATAGAAAAGACACACTGGTAGCCTGCATACGTTTCACATGGGTAGCTTGTTGTTGTCCTACGGGAGTGGCAGATTTATATATCGGTCCGCAGCTAATACAGGACTAGTAAAGGCCCAGTGCACTACTTTTGTACATTTTTATAAATTATTTATTTATATTTGTTTTATATTAAGATTTTTTAGGGGGGTGCTGCAGCACCCTTGGCACACCTACTTCCCGCGGCTATGAGCGCAGGTCACCATCTCTCTCGAGTCGTGTGAGCAAGTCTCCATTGAAGGAATACAAAATAAAAACATATGGATATCCAAAATAATTTCATGATATTATTTTTCAAACATTGAAATTCACATTTTACATTTTAGTCATTTAGCAGACGCTCTTATCCAGAGCGACTTACAGTTAGTGAGTGCATACATTTTCATACTGGCCCCCTGTGGGAAACGAACCCACAACCCTGGCGTTGCAAGCGCCATGATCTACCAACTGAGCTACAGGGGACTGAAATCATTTCAAATGCCCATCCCTATTACAACACCTGGAGAATAATTTACGTCTCAGTAACCATATTGATATGCTATAGCAATCTTCTGAGATGCAGAGCACGATGGCCTGGTACCCCACCTGTATTTTATCCGAGCGATATATATCTCTCTCTCTATATAAAACTATAGTGCCAAAAGTATGTGGACACCTGCTCGTCGAACATCTCATTCCAAAATCATGGGCGTTAATATGGAGTTGGTCCCCCCTTTGCTGCTAAAACAGCCTCCACTCTTCTGGGAAGGCTTTCCACTAGATGTTGGAACATTGCTGCGGGGGCTTGATTCCATTCAGCCACAAGCATTAGTGAGGTCGGGCACTGATGTTGGGCGATTAGGCCTGGCTCGCAGTCGGAGTTCCAATTCATCCCAAAGGTGTTTGATGGGGTTGAGGTCAGGGCTCTGTGCAGGCCAGTCAAGTTCTTCCACACCGATCTCAGCAAACCATTTCTGTATGGACCTCGCTCTGTGCACAGGGGCATTATCATGCTGAAACAGGAAAGGGCCTTCCCAAACTCTTGCCACAAAGTTGGACGCACAGAATCGTCAAGAATATCATTGTATGCTGTAGTGTTAAGATTTCCCTTCACTGGATCTAAGGGGCCTAGCCTGAACCATGAAAAACAGCCCCAGACCATTATTCCTCCTCCACCAAACTTTACTGTTGGCACTATGCATTGGGGCAGGTAGCGTTCTCCTGGCATCCGCCAAACCCAGATTTGTCCATTGGACAGCCAGATGGTGAAGCGTGATTCATCGGTCCAGAAAAAACATTTCCACTGCTCCAGAGTCCAATGGTGGCGAGCTTTACACCACTCCAGCTGACGCTTGGCATTGCGCATGGTGATCTTAGGCTTGTGTGTGGCTGCTCGGCCATGGAAACCCATTTCATGAAGCTCCCGACGAACAGTTATTGTGCTGACGTTGCTTCCGGGGGCAGTTTGGAACTGGATAGTGAGTGTTACAACCGAGGACAGACTATTTTTACGCGCTACACGCTTAAGCACTCGGCGGTCCCATTCTGTGAGCTTGTGTAGCCTACCACTTCGCGGCTGAGCCGTTGTTGCTCCGAGACATTTCCACTTCACAATAACAGCACTTACAGTTGACCGGGGTAGCTCTAGCAGGGAAGAAATTTGACAGCCTGACTTGTTGGAAAGGTGGCATCCTATGACAGTGCCACGTTGAAAGTCACTGAGCTCTTCAGTAAGGCCATTCTACTGATAATGTTTATCTATGGAGATTCCATGGCTGTGTGCTTGATTTTATACACCTGTCAGCAACGGGTGTGGCTGAAATAGCCGAATCACTAATTTGAAGGGGTGTCCACATACTTTTGTATATGTAGTGTATATAGCTCTCTGGGTTCTATTGTTCATGTATCTGACCTTTGACCTCCAGGGTGTTCTACAAGGTTAAGAGCCGCAGCGCCCACATGAAGAGCCATGCTGAGCGGGAGAAGAAGGACGCCGCGCTCAAACTCAAAGAGGAGGAGGAGGAGCGGGCGACCCTGGCGGCGGCGGCAGCCGAGGCACGGGCCAAGGAGGCAGCAGAGGTTATGCAGAATGGGAACGGGTGTGGGAATGGAGCGGGAGAACAGGATGAGGTCAGTGATGAGGGTGTGTCTTCAGAGGCAGAAGATGAACAAGACGAGGACTGGCACTGAGAGAGGGAGTAAGGGGAGAAAAGAGTGGGGTGGGGTGGGGGGGGGGGAGATCCCACTCCTTTAAAAACAAATTTCAAAGAATGTTGACCTAAAACCATGAGATTGAGTATGGTGGCGTTCCAGGTCATCTTTATTGCAGTCGCGCTGCACAGATTATCAGATTTCACAACACCTGGGGAGCTGTTAAACATCTAGGAACCACATATTCATATGATATAGCAATATTCTGAGATAACCAACGTGACTGCAAAAAACTAATACCTGGAACGTCCACTTTGTCTCACATCACAGTGCCACAACTTCAGTCTTCCTTTTAATCGATTTTCGCACTCCACATCTTTACTTTTCACAAGGAAATATATTTTTGTAAATGCACTTATACATTGTATTCTATTGCTTTTGCCAATGTCGCTTCTTTTATATCACTTTTTTAATTTAATATCTATATTGGAATATCAATATGGCTTTTTCTTTGTGTGGACTATTTAGGCTTTTGGTTGTTCTTAATAGTTTGTACTGCAGTGGATGTTGAAACAAACTAGATATACTCAGTGGATACCTGTTTTGCCTTACTAAATCATGATCAAAGAGACTTTTCACTTGTATAATATTGGTCTGTTTTCTAAAATTAGAGATAATGTAGATATGACCTTGTATGAATTCTGCTTTGCTTTTAAGGTAACATATTGTGGAGAAATGTTTAAGAATTGTCATCAAACGCTAAGGTTGAATTGCACATTTATACTACAAAGTAAGGGACCTTTCAAATGTAATGTACGGAAGTCCAGAGAGGTGATATTAATACAAAAATAATTCCCTCATTATGTCGATCACAACTTATTTATCTATCTCATGATCACGATCACAAGATAATTTTCTCATGATCACGACATAACAAAAGTTGTTTGGTTGAGATCACGAGATAAACTCCATAAATAGGAGTGGACGGATTGATGATGATAGATTGCCAGTATGGCTGAGGCTGCAGAGCCCATAGTGGATTCAGCACATATATTTGTATTGATTGCTACACTAAGGGATGGTACAATTCATGCTAACATCATGCATTAGTTTGTGTTTGGAGCTCATTATCAGTTTATAAGTTAGAATGTTAGCAAGCTAAATGTCCCTTACCTTGAGCTAAGAGCTCTTTTGGCATCTTAGCCCTACTGCGGCATTTAAGCCCAGAACGATGCCTGACAGGCAGTTATGTCTCCCAGGCTGTGTGCCACCCACAAGACCACAGCCAGTGCATGCATGCAAGCAACAACGCAGTTAACTTGGCTAGTCTTGTGAGTGAGCTAGCTAGGTAGTCGTGTTAGCTAGCTAGCTAGCTTGTTATCTATGTTAGCTTTCATAACTGATATGCGTATAATTGTAAGGGACACTTCATGTTTTATGGATAATATTTACATTTACAGAGTGGGTGAGCTCCATTCCTGACAGGCTGATCAGATTCAATTTCAGCCCCAGAGCTTGATCAGATTCAATAGCAGCCTCAGACTACCTAGCTAACTAGCTAGCTTACAAGACTAGCCAAGTTAGCTGCGTTGTTCCTTGCATGCGATTGGTTGTTGTCTTGGAGGCGACACGTAGCCTGGGAGACAGTGCTGCCTGTCAGGCATCTTTCAGGGCTTTAAATGCCCCGTATTGCAATCAACGCAGCCACAGGGCTCCTTGATTAAGTGGTTATCGTGCATCTTAACAAATGAATGGATGATGCGTGGTACTTTTGATTATCTCGTGATCTCGACAAAACAACTTTTGTTACGTTGTGATCATGAAATGAATAAGTTGTGATTCTCGACATAATGAGGGAACAATTTTTATTTTATTTGTTAAGTCCTCTCTGGACTTCCAGAGTAATCTGTGTCTTGTGTATAAAAATGTTTATAAAAAGTTATATATTGAAAATACTGCATTGCAAATAATGTTGCCAACATTTAACTAATCAATAATGTCAACTGCCGTTGAATTGAAAAAGTTGATTAAAAATCTTTATCTATTCAGAAACGATGGTTTCTGTAATTCTCTGAAGAGGTCTTATCTTTATTTGTATATAACGTTTTGAAACAGAACATGTTTGCAATTAAAACTAGTTTCTTATTGGACAAATTCAGGTAGGTAACTCCCTGTTTCAGTCCGGATGCTTCCATTTGGTTCATGGTTAATACACTCCTGTATGCTGTTAACGTAACAACCAGTAGAGGGAAGCAGTGCTTCAATATCATCAATGAGCAATAATCCCTCCAATTTACAATTCAAGAACTTGCCCTTGGGTTTCAATACATATGCTATATTATGAATAGGACAATATACTATACTACACTACACAAAACTATACAAATAACAAGACAAATCAATAAAAATATCACTGTGTATTCTTCAAACATATCAGGGAGCTGTCTTATATGGGACACCATACGAAGGGATGATGACTAACATGTACCACCAGACAAAATGCTGATAGGTAGAGTATCTGTATCGGCTGTGAATGACAATATAAGAAGAAAGACAAGTGTAATATTTGCACATTGTTATATTAGCAGAACACTGCTTCTACAGTATTATGTGAAGGATGGTTTATTCTACATGGAACTATTACACTTGAAAGTTATCAAAACTCTGTTTAGAATATCTACATACAGTTGAAGTCAGAAATTTACATGCACTTAGGTTGGAGTCATTAAAACTCGTTTTTCAACCACTCCACGCATTTCTTGTTAACAAACTATAGTTTTGGCAAGTCGGTTAGGACATCTACTTTGTGCATGATACAAGTCATTTTTCCAACAATTGTTCACAGACAGATTATTTCACTTATAATTCACTGTATCACAATTCCAGTGGGTCAGAAGTTTACATACACTAAGTTGACTGTGCCTTTAAACAGCTTTGAAAATTCCAGAAAATGATGTCATGGCTTTAGAAGCTTCTGATAGGCTAATTGACATAATTTGAGTCAATTGGAGGTGTACCTGTGGATGTATTTCAAGGCCTACCTTCAAACTCAGTGCCTCTTTGCTTGACATCATGGGAAAATCAAAAGAAATCAGCCAAGACCTCAGAAAAAAATTGTAGACCTCCACAAGTCTGGTTCATCCTTGGGAGCAATTTCCAAACGCCTGAAGGTACAACGTTCATCTGTACAAACAATAGTACGCAAATATAAACACCATGGGACCACGCAGCCGTCATACCGCTCAAGAAGGAGACGCGTTCTGTCTCCTAGAGATGAACGTACTTTGGTGCAAAAAGTGCAAATCAATCCCAGAACAACAGCATAGGACCTTGTGAAGATGCTGGAGGAAACCGGTACAAAATGATCTATATCCACAATAAAACGTGTCCTATATCGACATTACCTGAAAGGCCGCACAGCAAGGAAGAAGCCACTGCTCTAAAACCGCCATAAAAAAGCCAGACTACGGTTTGCAACTGCACATGGGGACAAAGTTCGTACTTTTTGGAGAAATGTCCTCTGGTCTGATGAAACAAAAATAGAACTGTTTGGCGTCGTTATGTTTGGAGGAAAAAGGGGGTCGCTTGCAAGCCGAAGAACACCATCCCAACCGTGAAGCATTTGGGTGGCAGCATCATGCTGTGGGGATGCTTTGCTGCAGGAGGGACTGGTGCACTTCACAAAATAGATGGCATCATGAGGAAGGAAAATTATGTGGATATATTGAAGCAACATCTCAAGACATCAGTCAGGAAGTTAAAGCTTGGTCGCAAATGGGTCTTCCAAATGGACAATTACGCCAAGCATACTTCCAAAGTTGTGGCAAAATGGCTTAAGGACAACAAAGTCAAGGTATTGGAGTGGCCATCAAAAAGCCCTGACCTCAATCCTATAGAGAATTTGTGGGCAGAACTGAAAAAGCATGTGTGAGCAAGGAGGCCTACAAACCTGACTCAGTTACACCAGCTCGGCAAGAGGAATGGGCCAAAATTCACCCAACTTATTGTGGGAACCTTGTGGAAGGCTACCCGAAACGTTTGACCCAAGTTAAACAATTTAAAGGCAATGCTACCAAATACTAATTGAGTGTATGTAAACTTCTGACCCACTGGAAATGTGAGGAAATAAATAAAAGCTGAAATAAATCATTGTCTCTACTATTATTCTGACATTTCACATTCTTAAAATAAAGTGGTGAACCTAACTGACCTAAAACAGGGAATTTGTACTAGGATTAAATGTCAGGAATTGTGAAAAACTGAGTTTAATTGTGTTTGGCTAAGGTGTATGTAAACTTCCGACTTCAACTCTAAGTTCAGTAATTGCACTCTTCTCATTTTACTCTGTAGGCTACTGACCGATTCAAAGCTTCAGAGTGGTATGAGAAGAGTGCCATCTTCCTGCATCTCACATCTGCTTGTATTTATTGAACTCTGCCCATGGATTAAGGCAAACTCTGTCATATCCAGGATGGAGTGGCATGCATTCCACCCCTGCTGCCACCTGACTGCACCTATCCATAACCTGTAATACATGACATAGATGGAAGGGACTTCATCACCCACTGGAGACTCACCCAGAGAGCTGTGTATGTCAGTGTGTGGTTAGACAGCCAAAGCCTTAGAATAGACCATAGAAATAGAATAGAATGCCATGCTAGTTCTGGGACAGCTGAAGTTCTACCAAATATTTTTATGTTCCTTGTTCTGTGGTTGTACAAAACTTATTTTCATTTGCTTGGTAAAGTCAATATGATTTTTTGTTGATAAATGTATCTACACTCAAGCTGGCCATGTTTGTGCAATGTCCACATGTAGCCTACACCTATAGGGATACTAGTTATTGGATTTGTTCCCCGGGAAAGATCTAACACCGGACATAAGGAGAGAAGAGACAAAACCTTGGGTTACGGATGTAACCTTGGTTCTCTGAGTAGAGGAACAGGTCGCCAAACAACCTATGGGAACTCCTTCCCCTTCACTCTATGTGATTGAGATGCTTAATATCAAATATGTTTACAGTCACGCTACACCCTTAC